ATTATGTTGATGTGGGTCAAATTTCATGAGGTTTGACTGTCAATTGGCCACAGTTGACTTTTTCCCCAATACAGCTGATTTCTAGGTCAACTGTCCAATTGACTGGGCAAAGATTGGAATCAAGGCTTGAAACTTGGTATGGATAAACTTGTGAGTCCAACATGAAGCATGGAAGTCACTTTGGGCATTTTAGGTCAAAAAATCTTTGTGCAAACTCAAACCCTAATTTGGATCAACAGTGCAAGGAGGAGTCTTGAGCAGAGCAAACCCTAACTTGATCTTGAGTTCCAAGAGTCTTGTGGTGAGAAAATGCTGATGAAATGAGAGGGCAAATTTTGGGGTACAACACAAGGCGTCAGGTATTTACATCGCCAAAGACAAACCCTTAAAAATAAATAAAGTGATAAAAAATAATAAAAGGTCCTATTAAGCTATTACAATCCAAAATCAGATACATAATTAGATAAAGAAAATAAATCGCATGCGGGAAATTAAATCGAGCGCAAAGTTATAGGGTTTTGACCCTTTTTTTTAAAGAAAAGATTTTTTGTGGTTTTTATTTTAAGAAAGAAAATGAAATTAAACCTAAATTAATTAAATTAATTAATAAAAATAAATTGTTTTTGGATTTTTGGTATTTTAAGAAAAAAATAATAAAATAATTAATGTTAGTAAAAACCTAATTAAATCTAATTGAATTTTAATTATTTACAAAAATGTTAAAGTTATTCTAATTAAAACTCTAAATCAATTTAATTAGTATTTATTAATAAAATAAAAATTGAAATTTGATTAAATATGAAAAATATTTTTGGTGGTTTTGATTTTATGAAAAAAGAATTTTTTAATTGGTTAGTAAATTTAATAAAAATAATTAAGCAATTAATAAAATAAAATAAATAAGTAAAATAATATGAGAGAAAGGGGGTATGGGCCTGATTATGGTGTTTGGACAACAATCCTGAGGCCCAATAACACGCTGGCCTTGTTGACTTTCCTTGATCCAGCGTGCATGTGCTGACTTGGTCTTTGGTGGTCCATAAATTCTTGGCCATCAGATTTGGCCTTGGGCCATCTGGCAATTGGATATGTGAATGCGTATGGTATTCTGCGCGCTTGAATTTGCATGTGATTACCCGAAGAATGAAAATAACAAAGAAAGTGGGGGACCTGGGATTCGAACCCAGGTCCTGATGGCTAATGGGTGTACACGCTTACCACTAGGTTACTTAGCTTTATCTGTTAATAATATACAAATAATATATAATAAAAGAAAGCAGGTCAATGGTCAGAACAAAACAAAAATGCGCGCGTGGTTTGAATGGAGCAATGGTTGAGTGCCACATATTCATCTTCTTCGTTGAACCGTGGCTAAAACAGAACAAACATATACCAACGGACAGTAGTCCGTAGCTATAAGTCAAGCATCTCTAAAATCCTATAGACGCCATGGAAATGCATTCTGAACCCATGGTTGAATTCGTCTCCCTCTTCCGATCACACCTATAGCCATTATTAAGGCTAATTTTACCTGAAACAAAACACCCAAAACTATCCACGAAACCCTAATTATGGTACTTTGCAGTATGAGTCAGATAAACAAAATTAAGTAATGCCAAAAGCTTTGAAATGTTATGAGGATCACAAATATGGCAATGATTTATTCAAATGATGCAAGAATATATAGTTATGATTTCAAGTACAGAGCTAGGTAACGTGATGCTTACAGCGTGTTTGGGCGTGTATGAAAGCCTGCTTTGGATTGGTTTCGCCTCAGTGAACGTCCAGGAATCATTTGGGATGCTTGCCAAGTCCTGGAAACGTCTCTTATTATGATTTCGAATTCAAGCTTTTTACCACTTTTTCAAACTTTTGTTCTGCCTCTTCTTGCAGCCTCTAACCTCTATTCACGTTTCCTTTGGCTTGTTTATGTAGTATGAAATGTGTTAGGGTAACAATTTTGGATTGAATCTTCTCCCATCAATGCTTTGGAATTTGATTTGGTTCACCCTTTAAACCTTTCCAAATTTGCCAAATCTCCATCTTTTTGTACATGATATGCTTGATACGAATTTTGATGATGATCATGATGATAATTAAGACCTGAAACAACAAAAAAGATCTTAGGTAATCAAAGTTTGGATTTTATATGATTTAAATTGATTAAAAATGAATAAATTCAATAAAAAATCAAATTAAATAATAAAAATAGAATGTGGGCTCATGGATGAAGCTAGGACACATGGGCAACTATGCAAGCTCAAATCAAGTGGAAAAGAATGGGCCCATTTGCCAAAATTTGAAGTTTTGGGGATAGTTGACTTTTGACAATTTTGCAAAAATGTCCAACTTCAACAATGCATAATTTCTTCAATTTTGAACTTTTGGAGGTGTTCTTGGACTTTTTAGAAAGCTTGAGATGTCCTCTAACCAACCCTTTTGGTCTCATCTCAATTTTGATATTCCATGCCCAAGTTATAAGCTTTGGCAAAAAAAGTGTTTTTGTTGACTTCCTAACAGTATATTTGTTGGTTACTCTACCACTTCTTAATAACATACAATGTTATAACTGTACAGGAAAAAACACAATAACATAGAAAATTAGCAACGTCCCACCAGGTGTACCAATTTGTTTACCGTTGTTTTTGATAAACAACTGCTGATCTCCAAAAAGGCAAGTTTTTTTTGGTTTACTTACGGGATCGATCAGATTAATCCCAGGACATATGCTAATTTTTATGTAAAATGGATAAGCAGGAAGAACACACGTTTGACCCAGAGAGAGGATGTTTAAGATTTTGGAAAAGTAAACAGATGTATAGAAATGCAAGTAAAAGAAGTAAAAAAGATAACTTTGCAGGATAATAGTAAAGTAATGTAAAGGACTTTCATTAAGGAAAAAAGGTGTTTCCAACATACATTTCTCAGTCGTTATCCTTTCTCACGCATCAGTTACTTGGATAATGTTTGAGTGACTTAGTACAATAGGTTGAACACACTTGAAAATTACACAAGTTTCTTAATTTATACTAAAAATAAGTAACCGTCGAGGGAACATTCTGCGCTAGGATGAAGACAAGTGTCTTCTGCATGTCCCCCACCTATGGCTTTCAGCCACGTTGCCTCTTCTTAAACGCTGACGAAACTGCCTTTCCCTCCAATAATTCAAAATTCAAATAGTCCTCGTATCATGTGTCAAAGCGAGGATACTTTCTCTTAGTCGAGTGACATAAGTCTTCTTCAGTCGAACGAACCTGAAGATGAGCCCTTGGTCGAAGATTCAAATATAACTTAGATCTTTTCCCTAAGTTATTTCATGTGTCGAATCATTCTTCTTGGCTTGGTTCATTCCAGTTATCTGGTCTAAAAGACCAAATATAGTAAGTGTCGAATTTGGGAGCCAACAGATTGTAAGTATACTTCAACCACATTTGGATGATTCGATGTAATTCACATACTAAATGGGTCCAAAAATCTACAAATATCTGATTTATTTGATTCTATACAGAAACTATCCTTGTGCCTAATTGGTAAAATAAAATTCAAAAAATAAATGAGTTTTAACATCGAAAGTACTTAAGTGTACAAATTCAAATTGACATTCTTCTTCAATTTCTTTGTGAAGAATTTATATTTTGATACAATGGTTTTAAAGCTTAAATCTCCTTTACGTTCCATATGTTTTAAAGATGAGATCAGTTTCTTGACATTCTTCATCATCTTCTTTGTGAAGAATTTAAGTTCTGAAACAATTGTTTCAATGCTTGAATCTCATTTCTCATTATAGGAGAAAATTGAATTGGTTGAATATTTTATTTAATTTTTAGTACGGTGTCTCTTGTGATGCCACAAGTATTCAAAATTATATATTTCATCTTTAGTTCAACTTGTTTGTTTAGGACAAATAATAATCAATTTCTAGTAACTATTAAATGAATGCGAGCATAATTAGTAATTGGTAAAATATGGAAACTAAATTAAGAAAAACGACAATTTCAAAATTACTCACGAATAAATATGTTGATTCAGACTATGATGGTGATATGAATGATAAGAGATCTACAATAAAGTATGTCTTTAGTGTAGCAAGAGGACATATTTGCTTAAAATCATTGGTTCAATCCACTGTGACCATGTCAACATCTGAAGCATCATACATGACATACAATATGTGAAACAGTTAAAGAAATCTAATGACTTACATGATTGGATAAGAGACTTGAGTGTTGAGTAAGGTAGAGTCGAATTGCATTATGATAATCATCGCGTAATTTATTTAACATATCATATCAAGATCAAGTATATTGATGCGAGATTTCACAACTAAAAAAAGATAAGGACATTAATAAATTAAAGATTCTAACAAATATACAATAGTTATTGATAAATAGTCAAATACACAATTATTCAAATAAAACTTGATAAAAAAAATACACAATGCAAGTTATTTTGAAGTTAGAAATTTAAGAATGAAAGTTAATAACTTGTATGAAAGATTAAAAATTTAAAATTCAACGAATTTTTTAAAATAATGAGTTTGAGAATTTTTTTAACCTTATCTAAACACAATTATGGAGAAAAATGTGTCACAATGTTAATATCTATTAGACCATTAAACATTATGTGGCAACTCCTCCGATAGAAATAAAGCACTTGACCAAAACCTGAATGAAAGAAGAAGATGAAAAGAAAGAAAGCCAAAACATTAGAAACATTTCGGTTTTCGCATTATGATTTTGACATGTATGGAAAGGGAAGAACCCTAGCTCTATAGTCTACTGTTTCTATTTCCACTTGCAAAGATTTGTGGACTTGATTAACACCATATGGCAAAACAGCAACAAGCTTACATCTTCTCTCTCTGAACCAAGCAAGGTAAACAATGTCATCTCTTTCTGAAAAATCAAAATTTGCAAATGACGTTTTGGGTAATGATAAAAAATAGATTTCGGGTGAACCAACCAGGAACGATCATCCACAGCTAAGATGATGACCACAGCATGCAGTTCATCTTGGCCGTTAATCACGCTCTGATCACACGGTCTTGCTTCATCCACCAGACTTATGTTCCTGTCTCCTTTGAAATCAAGGACACAGTAGTACGAGCCTATAGAACAGATCCTGTTCAAGTAAGGTCGTGTTATTTCTTGCTTAGATTCAAGTATATAACTCTTGAATATTTTCTACGCATCGACAATGTGGGAGTAATATAATAGTTTTTGTTGAAACTCTACTTTTATTTAACAACATTTTTTCAGCTCAGAACTCAGTTCTGCCTTGGTTAAATTAACAGATGGTGCATATCTAAACAATGATGATTTGTTCACAACTAGTTTGATACACTGATATGCGTTCACTTTGAATAGAGCTGTGAATAGCTTGTTAGTGAGCTAGTTGTCAACTACGTACTGACCACATCACACTTTATTTTTTAGGCACACAAGCCTTAGCAGAACTTGGAGTTCAAAGATATCTACGAGAGTCTCATGTACGCTGCTAACTAGAGTTTGGTTAATGCGCTGCTTAAGGAAAAAAAACAATTGGTGGAGTTCTTCAAGCATGTTCAGCAACACATGGGTGATATTGAAGATGAGAGATATGGAGATCCATTTTGTTAGTCTCTTTGGGAAAATCGGGTTGCTGTCAAAGATAAAATGGTCATTACCATTTCCTATTCCTAGTGAGAATTGATTACTTTATATTTTTTATGTATCTGTATGTTTGTGCAAATGTGTTAGTCTTGAAATGTGTTGGTCGAGATGGTTTGATTTATAGATGATAATGATTTCTTATCTGATTGCTACTTGCTCTGTTCATTTCCCATGCTAACAATTAACAGGACAAAAGCATGGGAGGTATAATTTCGCATGCTGCTGAAATTTGTGGCTTATAGCTTTGATATTTTATCCTTAACTTTTTTCAGTTTCCTTGTCATTTTAGAAATGAGAAAATAAGAGTGAAAGTTTGTCGGGCTTTGAAAATACCAATCAAATCTCTAACTAGACTTGGCTTTACACAAATAGAATAATCACAACTTCTTGACTCTCATTAGCACCCTACGGTTAAGTCTCTTTGTCTTCCACATGATTCTTTTGTATGCTATAAGCCATGGTAGATTTTGATCAGGAATGGCAAGGTGTATAAATACTTACTTAAATAAAAGATGGAATAGATTGTTTAGCTCAATACAACTCCTCTGTTGCAAGGTGAGTTCTTATTCATGTGCTATATTTGTGTTGAAATTCAATTATCGCTAGATTGGGATACTTTAGTTATTAAAATTTGTGAAGCCATGGTCTTTGTGCTGATTGTTGTCAGTAGGACAGTATCTTTTCAAGTCGATGTTTGTACGAATGTTGTAGGATACTATATGGTATAAACATGTTAGATTAGCTTTGGGTTAGAACTTATACAATCATAAGCTTATCCTGGACTCGTCCTTCACAATTAGCGAACTATTCTTTCGTCTTTTACTAAAGAATACCATGTCAACGTCACAATTAGCGGCAGCCACTAGTATTTGGAAGAGTCCTCAAAGAGGGCTCTGCTATTTTAGTTCAAGTTTATTATCTCTATATTCTTAATATTTTTGACTATTCTGAATTGAAATTTGTAATGAAAACTGATTCATTGTCACTTTAGAAGAAGTGAGAACACAAGATTGAGAACTTTTATATGATGGCTTTTGAAGATCATTTAGCAGATGCTGCAACGTTAGACAAAAAATCGAATAATAGAAGAGACACCTTTGATATTTCCCCTTAATATAACCAGTAAAGTTGTTGCTTTTTTTATACTCCAAGTGAAATCGAGTGATTGGATAAGAATGGTAAGATTTGATCTCGGTTAATTTCAGTATGAGAACATAGTTATACAGATTAATAACGGTTCTAAAAAACATATAGAGGGAGGGAAAATGAGGAGATCATGGAACAAAGATTTCATATGTTCACTTGAGAGATTTCACAACCGCAACATGGTTATAAATACTTTATCAATTTGATCCTAATGGAGGTGGCAAATGTGAGTTGGTGTATTAACGATTGATCCACTAAGTGAATATAGACTGTGTTCATACAACTCCAGCACTGCAATGATCTTTTAGGATGAATCAATACTACAATGTTATCTAAGTCCCACATCCGAATTGTTAGAGTGAATAGTACGGAAAGTGAGGTATAAAAGAGAAGTGAGTGATACATTGCTACATACTTACCTGGATGGGGTCAATGGATGATCACGAAGGTCCATGGCCTAGGCAAGTGATCTTCATTGCACTTAGGAGAGGTGCTAGCCTAAGGTCTACCCAAGTGGTGGAACCTACATCATAATTTGTTGCTGTGGGGGCCTGCGTTCGCGCAGCCCCCTCTCAATCTAAGTTATTAATAATTGGATCTTGTTATTTAGAGACTATTTTAGACATGTTTAATATACTGTGTATGTATGGGCGATCAAGAAGGCTCATTGCCTGGGCCGGTGACCTCTAGTTGGGACTTGCGCTTGAGTGGTTTTTAGAGACAAGAACCTCCTTCCCACAGAAGAAGCTGTTGCTTTTTATATCTCCAGTGAAATCTTATGTTTGGCAGTAGCTCAGTATGTATACATTTTGGTGAAAGTGTATATCTTGTTTCATTTGTGTTTTTGAATGAAATATGTTAATCTAACTACAGGATTGTTTTGTATATCTTCTACAGGATTGTTTTGTATGCTATAGCCATGGCATGGTAGATTATGATCATGAAAATGGTGAGGTCAGTTATTATTCATTGTTGTTACATGTGCTATATTTGCATTGTAATTCAATTGTATATGTTAGTAATTGAATTTCTTTAAACTGTGTACTGCTTCACTAGCCAAGAACAATTTGAAAAGTTACTGCTTCACATAAACATTTCACTAGACAAGAACAATCACAAAAAGGGAGGATAATGTGCTAATTCTTCACACAACACATACATATCTGTAAAATAGTAAGTAACCGATAAATTGTTTTGAAGCTTTGTCAAATACATTTCTGTAAAATAGTTAGTAACCGATAAATTATTTTATAGCTTTGCCTAATCTTTCTGCTATTCAGTAATGCGAACATAGTCTCCTTGCGAGAATTGCGTCTCAAGACCCTTGCAAGCCGCTGCAGCAATATCCATATAGATCACACGCTTCACGATAAGATAGAGAGACTGAATTTTCGATCCAGGTATGCACTAACGACACAAATTACTCCAAAAACCTAATTTAGTTCTTCATGATTATAGTCCAAAAACCTAATTTAATTCTTCATGATTATCACACGCCTCATGAATGCGACCAGGAATGGTATTTCTTACCATTGAGAAGACAAGTGACAAGAGGGGCTGAAGTACTTATAACAGGATGCTTGTATTATGGATTTCTTGTAGGATCAGTATGTTGAATATTTTGATTTCTGGCATTAACAAGCGCAGCTCCTGGAGGCATGGTGAAGAATGAGTAGCTCAGTGCTCTTCTGAGCTCTTATACCATATTAGTGAATGCAACTGAACCATAGAGAGGATCAAATAAAAAAGAAACTGAAACGTTTCACTCAAATTAATTGGTGTATCTTAGAATTATCAGAATCAGATGCATTTTTGTGGACTTTTACTCTGTATCAACCTGAAGTACTATAGTTAATATTTTCGAATTTACGCTTAATATCTACTTTGTTCTATATAATAAATGAACGTTGGAGCAGCTTCTTGATATCTTTTTCTCATTTGAGGGAGGCAAGCTTCTGGAGGAGTATAACTACCTCTTCCCTCTTCTGAATCAGGGGAAGGAATCATGTACTTGTGATGTTGTTGGCGGATCGATGACTTGTTGCCGGCTGGATTGGTACTGGCTCAGGGATGGAGGCTTGGTTCTTTCGCGACGTTGCTTCTTGTACTTCTTTCTGCCAATGCCTGAGAATTTTGTTGCTGCACCATGTTTTAGAAGTTATTCAGCATGTCATTGGCTCCTTGCGCGCCAATATTAGCCTGCACCAGTTGAAAATCAGGAAGCATGTCTTGCCCCGGCATCACAAGCAGTAGTGGAGGTCCGAGCCAAGGTTCTCCCTAGTGGAATTGTGGACCAGAGCCGAGGAATGGAAGAGGTTGAAATGCTCCATGTCCCGTCCCCGTTTGTACATGATCTTCATGTGAAGAAGAAACAAATGGAGAAGCTACCAGGACTTCATCATTTTTCCCTTAACGCGGAGATGGAGGATTTCTGCAAGTCTCAGCGGCAGCGGCAACAACGGCTTGCCGTTGGACGTAGGAGAGAGTAGCTATGATGCTGCCATAGTCGATGGATCGGATGAAGGATACGAAGGGGAAGAAGTTCAAATTTGAGAGAAGTGATCGGAAAATAAAGATCTCAACTTTGAGGGAGAGGAGATCTGGATTTCTGGCGGAGGAGACTACTAAATGAAGAGAGGTTTGATTGTGGAAGATCGTAGGATCAGAATTTAGAACTCAATTCCCATAGAAAATTAAGTCATCCAAACTCTATTGTTTTGTCCCATTTATTTAAAAATGGTTTGTTGGGAAATAAAAATGTTTCTAATGCCTCTATTTCATGTTCTGTTTGCAAATTAGCTAAGAGTAAAACACTTCTTTTTCCATCTGGTGCTTATCGTGCTTCCACTTGTTTTGAAATGATTCATAGTGATTTATGGGGTATATCTCCTGTAGTTTCTCATTCTCACTATAAATATTTTGTCACATTTATTGATGATTATAGTCGTTTTGTTTGGATATATTTCCTTCGGTCTAAATATGAAGTGTTTTCTGTGTTTAAGAAATTTTTAACATATGTTGAAACTCAATTCCAAGCAAGTGTTAAAAATTTTCGCTCTGACTCTGGTGGTGAGTACATGTCTCATAAGTTTCAGGAATACCTTCAACAAAAAGGCATCTTGTCGCAACGATCTTGTCCCAATACCCCTCAACAAAATGGTATTGCAGAACAGAAGAATCATCATTTGCTTGATGTAACACGCACATTGCTTCTCCAAGCTTCAGTACCATCCCGATTTTGGGTAGAAGCTCTTTCCACAGCTGTCTTCTTGATCAATCGTCTTCCTTCTACGGTTATTGAACTTGATTCTCCTTTCTTTCGTCTTTTTAAAATTCATCCTGATTATAGTGCTTTACACACTTTTGGGTGTGTGTGTTTTGTTCACTTACCTCCTTTTGAAAGGCATAAGCTTGGAGCACAATCAGTTCAATGTGCATTTATGGGATATAGACACTCTCATAAGGGATTTGTGTGTTATGATGTCACTAACCATCGTTTTCGCATTTCTAGAAATGTGACATTTTTTGATAATCAGTTTATGTTTCCCTGTGTTTCTCCTACCATTAATGATATTGTTACTCTTCCTAAGTTTTCTATTATGCCTCAATCTATAGAACATTATAAACCAGGTCATGTATATGTCAGAAGACACAAACAGCAGGTTCCCACACCCCTTCCCGACGCTGAACCGCCACCTTTGGGAGAGGGAAGAACCCTAGCTCTATAGTTTACTATTTCTATTTCCACTTGATCCTTTCCCTCTCTGAACCAAGCAAGGTATTTCTATTTCCACTTGATCCTTTCCCTCTCTGAACCAAGCAAGGTAAATAATGACACTTGATCCTTTCCCTCTCTGAACCAAGCAAGGTAAATAATGACTCATAGATTTTGGGTCTGTCAGAGCACCGTGCAACCACCCCAATTGGGTGAACCAACCAGGAATGATCATCCACAGCTAAGATGTGGACCACAGCATGCAGTTCATCTTGGCCGTTAATCACGCTCTGACCATTAATGATATTGTTACTCTTCCTAAGTTTTCTATTATGCCTCAATCTATAGAACATTATAAACCAGGTCATGTATATGTCAGAAAACACAAACAGCAGGTTCCCACACCCCTTCCCGACGCTGAACCGCCACCTTTGGGAGAGGGAAGAACCCTAGCTCTATAGTTTACTATTTCTATTTCCACTTGATCCTTTCCCTCTCTGAACCAAGCAAGGTATTTCTATTTCCACTTGATCCTTTCCCTCTCTGAACCAAGCAAGGTAAATAATGACACTTGATCCTTTCCCTCTCTGAACCAAGCAAGGTAAATAATGACTCATAGATTTTGGGTCTGTCAGAGCACCGTGCAACCACCCCAATTGGGTGAACCAACCAGGAATGATCATCCACAGCTAAGATGTGGACCACAGCATGCAGTTCATCTTGGCCGTTAATCACGCTCTGACCATTAATGATATTGTTACTCTTCCTAAGTTTTCTATTATGCCTCAATCTATAGAACATTATAAACCAGGTCATGTATATGTCAGAAAACACAAACAGCAGGTTCCCACACCCCTTCCCGACGTTGAACCGCCACCTTTGGGAGAGGGAAGAACCCTAGCTCTATAGTTTACTATTTCTATTTCCACTTGATCCTTTCCCTCTCTGAACCAAGGTAAATAATGACACTTGATCCTTTCCCTCTCTGAACCAAGCAAGGTAAATAATGACTCATAGATTTTGGGTCTGTCAGAGCACCGTGCAACCACCCCAATTGGGTGAACCAACCAGGAATGATCATCCACAGCTAAGATGTGGACCACAGCATGCAGTTCATCTTGGCCGTTAATCACGCTCTGACCATTAATGATATTGTTACTCTTCCTAAGTTTTCTATTATGCCTCAATCTATAGAACATTATAAACCAGGTCATGTATATGTCAGAAAACACAAACAGCAGGTTCCCACACCCCTTCCCGACGCTGAACCGCCACCTTTGGGAGAGGGAAGAACCCTAGCTCTATAGTTTACTATTTCTATTTCCACTTGATCCTTTCCCTCTCTGAACCAAGCAAGGTAAATAATGACACTTGATCCTTTCCCTCTCTGAACCAAGCAAGGTAAATAATGACACTTGATCCTTTCCCTCTCTGAACCAAGCAAGGTAAATAATGACTCATAGATTTTGGGTCTGTCAGAGCACCGTGCAACCACCCCAATTGGGTGAACCAACCAGGAATGATCATCCACAGCTAAGATGTGGACCACAGCATGCAGTTCATCTTGGCCGTTAATCACGGCTCTGATCACACGGTCTTGCTTCATCCACCAGACTTATGTTCTGATCTCCTTTGAAATCAAGGACACAGTAGTACGAGCCTATAGAACAGATCCTGTTCAAGTAAGGTCGTGCTATTTCATGCTTAGATTCAAGTATATAACTCTTGAATATTTTCTACGCATTAACAATGTGGGAGTAATATAATAGTTTTTGTTGAAACTCTACTTTTATTTAACAACATTTTTTCAGCTCAGAACTCAGTTCTGCCTTGGTTAAATTAACTGATGGTGCATATCTAAACAATGATGATTTGTACACTGATTTGCGTTCACTTTGAATAGAGCTGTGAATAGCTTGTTAGTGAGCTAGTTGTCAACTACGTACTGACCACATCACACTTTATTTTTTAGGCACACAAGCCTTAGCAGAACTTGGAGTTCAAAGATATCGATGAGAGTCTCATGTACGCTGCTAACTAGATTGTTTAGCTCAATACAGCTCCTCTGTTGCAAGGTGAGTTCTTATTCATGTGCTATATTTGTGTTGAAATTCAATTATCGCTAGATTGGGATACTTTAGTTATTCAAATTTGTGAAGCCATGGTCTTTGTGCTGATTGTTGTCAGTAGGACAAAGTATCTTTTCAAGTCGATGTTTGTACGAATGTTGTAGGATACTATATGGTATAAACATGTTAGATTAGCTTTGGGTTAGAACTTATACAGTCATAAGCTTATCCTGGACTCGTCCTTCACAATTCCAAACGCTATGTTCTAGCATTTTTGGTCACTTGATGATGTTATGATTTTGTTGCAAAACCAAAAATGTGTTGCTATCTGATAAAGTGGTAGTAAGTAGAATCTACGGAATTGTTGAACCATTTTCATTTTATCATGTAGATTTTCATTAAAAAAGGAATTATACTACTTTTATTTTATGGTTCATGTATTAGAATTTACACTTGATATCTAGTATGTTTGTTTTTATAAAAAAGGATTGTTGGGTAGGATTTATTGGGATAACTAATATGATATACCACACATTTTTCATGTAGTTTGCATTCGCAGCCCCTCCTAATTATGTTTAAGATTTTTTGAAAAATCAAAAAGATGTGTACTAGTAATTGGGAGTCTGGATCTTAATCTGTTTAGAGTACATAGGTAAAAAGCACATGAGATGAGTAGAGGAAGTAATAATTATTATAAGCTTTTCATTGTATTTGATTATAATGTATGACTATTGAATTGTATGTATCTATACAAACAAAATTTCAATTCTCAGCAGATCCTTAAAATTCAGATGCTTGCTTTGGGGAGAAAATAAAACCCCAACAAACTATTGAGTCATGTTCAAAATACATACTCTAGTTTTAATCAAACGCCTAAATACACTTTCCAAACCTTTCTCTATCCCTTCAATTGCACTCTCCAAAGTTTCAAAACTTTCATGTGCAATCTGGATGTTGGCAACATCAGAACCTTCGCGTAAAAGGGTTCTCAAGGATGCATCCACACGCTGCAATTCATTTAAATTCTCCTCACATGATTTTGTCCTCTTGTGCATCAACTTTTCCATTTTCAACCATTTGGTTGCTTTTGACTTGGAAGCCAAGAAAGACAAAATGGATTGAAAGATAGACATGTTCATTACTATAACCTCTCTAAGAACTCTTATCACAGAAACAACTTCTTGATCTTCGTTCAAAAGTGAGGAAGCTCCAAATTTACTCTCCACGTGTTTTAGAGATGTAATCAACTTTGTGACATTTTTCTTCATCTTCTTTGAGAAATAGTTATATTCGGCTACACTTGTTTCAATGCTTGAAACTCCAATTCTTCTTCTAAGAGAAGAGTGAAGTGCTTCAACATTTTCTTTAATTTCTAACATGGTGTCTCTTGTGATACCACAAATATCCAAAATTTTCACTGAGCCATCCAACAACTCTTCCACAAAATTCTCACCTTGATGGTGAGAAATGACCTTTTGTGTTGATCTCATATTCAGAAAATCTTCCAATGAAGTGTACAAATCTTCAAGCAAAGAAAGGCCAATGGTAATGGTAATGGATGTTCGCTCTTTAAAGATAATTGTAAAGCTCAATGTTTTAGTGATGCTACCAAGATCCTGAATCTCTCTTTATATAAGAGCTACTGATGATGATGTTGGTTGATAATTATTATGCTCATAATAAAGAAATAAAATAGGTAGCACTTGTTAATCATGGTGTAGAGCATATTGTGCATGCATGGATTTCCCTTTGAATATGGTAAGCTTGTCATATGTCAACCCAACATTGTGAATTTTTAATGATACCGCATGTTATATTGTGCAAAGATGCTATGAGTTTGAAATGTGTTTGGAGTGCATGATGAATATAGCTGGCATGTCTTCCTTGTGTTGGTTATCAGAAAACATGATTGGTCATCATTTAATTTGCTTCCTCTGCTGACACATAACACTTATAATTACAACTATAAAAATTGATTCTGCTTATTGCTTCTTACATGTCATTCATGCATACACAATGAATTAATAGAATAGAAATTGTAGTATAATTTAGTTTGGTGTCCATATATTTTGATCATATCCGACAAGATCTGGATCTCATCTTTCTATAATCCCTTCTTTAAGCTATTTAGCTCCTCAACAAATGGAACATGCCAGGCAATAGATACCACTTTATTTTTTATATTAGAAACAAAGTGAATAAAGAAGTTTTCTATTTCCATGTCAAATCCATTCATTATTATACCACATGCTCACATTGATTAAGAGAGGTTAGCTGCATTATTTTATTGAATGAAGCATGAATTGCTTGCTATTATATATTATAAATGTTAGGAAGTTGATCATGTAATGGTTGGAGAATGTTATTGAATGAAGGTTATGATTATGAATTCACTACTGCTTAGAGAAGTTACTGGGACATACATTTCTGTCTTCCAATCAATCCCTTTTATCCTTATTTGCAAAATTGATGCAAAAGGGAATATTATCTTGTGAAGAGAGCTTGGATGTGAAAGCATTTTTATTCTTTAAGCAGACTTTGAATGATAGTAATGCTGTGAGGATTAAAAGGTTAGAGGATGGAAGGAAGAGTGTATTTAGCCACTTTGTTAGAAACAGTGCCCACTTGTTGATAGGGCCGGCAAGAGAAGACCTTGATTATAACAAAATGCACTTTTCCGGTGATCTGGTTGAAGAAAGTAATTTGTCGACTCCAAAAGTCACTCTATAGGCTCAAGCAACCATCTTGAAGTTGGTTCCAACATTTTTATTGTACAACTCAAAAACGGTTGACTTGATGTCATGACATGGTCCTTACGGGTAACAATGAGATAGCCATCAGTAATTATTGTTTTTAGGCAAAGAATGCAATATTATAGCAGAAGTATAGAACTCAAATTTCTTGTTTCTATTTGATTGTATTACTATTGAACTGTTTGTATACATACTGTGCAAAAAATTTCACTCCTTAACATATCTCTAAGATAGAGTCATGATGTTTAAATGCCTAAATATATTCTCCAAACCATTTTCTAGCCTTTCAATTGCATTCTCCAAAGTCCAAAGCTTCCAATCTTTCATGTGCATTGTAAGATAATTTAGGCCGTATCTTTTCATTCATGTGATAGTCATGTATATCCACAGTACAAATATGTGGTTATGATTCTAATAATCATTGGTAATCAATACTAATAATAATCTTTCTATATTTACATATCTAATACACCCCCGTAGTCGAAACTGGAGGTGAACGAATGTTGAGACTATCACGAAAGTCCTCAAAGAGTTGCAACGGAAGTCCCTTTGTGAAGATGTCAGCAATCTGAAAACGCGAGGGAATGTGAAGAACGCGTACTTGACCGCAAGCAACTTTCTCACGCACGAAATATATATCCATTTCAATATGTTTGGTGCGTTGATGTTGAACAGGATTGTCGGAAAGGTAAACCGCGCTGATGTTGTCACAATATACCAGAGTAGCTTTTGTGACAGGACAACATAGTTCCAAGAGTAAGTTGCGTAACCAACATGATTCAGACACAACATTAGCTACGCCTCTATATTCGGCTTATGCATGAATTGACTCATCACTCCCACTGTATAAGCTATGTCTGGCCTAGTGTGAGATAAATAGATTAACTTTCCAACCATCTTTTGATTAGATTTTCTGTCCACAGTTGCATCTTCAACAAATTCACTAAGTTATGATTTTGTTCGATTAGAGTTTCTACTGGTTTGCATTTTAATTTACCAGTTTCAGATGATAAATCCAGCACATACTTCTGTTGAGAGATGAAAATACCATGACGAGAGTGTGTCACTTAAAGGACCAAAAAATATTTTAATTTGCCCAACTCTTTTACTTCAAACTCTTTTAGTAAACACACTTTTAGGCTATCCATTTTTGCTTAATGATTTCCCGTTACAATTATATCACCCACATAAACAATTAGTGTAGTAACTCCCCCTAAGGCTGAATGCTTAGTAAACAAAGTGTGATCTCCATGACTTTGTTTATATCTCATATCTTTCATCATAGTGGTAAACCTGCCAAACCAGGCCCTAGGGGAATGTTTCAGTCCATAAAGAGCCTTCCTTAGCTTACAAACTTTGTCTTTCTCAAACTTAAACCCAGTTGAGACCTCCATGTAAGTTTCCTCTTCAAGGTTTCTATATAGGAAAGCATTCTTGACATTGAATTGTTGTAAATTCCATTCATAGTTAGCTGCTAGAGATAACAAAATTCTTACAGTGCTCATTTTTGCGACGCGAGAGAGTCTCATGATAGTCAATCTCATATGTTTTTGTGTGCCCCTTACCTACTAGTCTTGCTTTACACCTTTCTAGTGTTCCATGGGACTTGCATTTAAGGGTGAATACCCATTGACGACCAACAAGTTTTTTGTTATTAGGAAGCTCTACTAACTTCCAAATTCCATTTTTCTCTAGTGCATCCTTGTCGACTTTCATAGCTTCTCTCCACTCTTTGCTATTTAGTGCTTCGGTAACAGTTTTTGGGATAGTGGTAGTGTTTAAATGAGCAAGAAAACTTCTATGATTGTTGGACAAACTACCATAGGATATAAAGTGAGACAATGGATACCTTAGCCTTTTGTACATGCTCTAACATCCTTCCTTATTGCAATTGGAAGATCTATAGCATCCATGAATATATTCTGTTCCTCTAAATCAGTCCCATCAACTCCAGTTTCAGGGGGCACAATTTTCTCCTCTAAAGCAGTCTCATCAATTACAGTTTCAGAAATTGAGTCATATTTTGAGACTTACATATGTTAGATAATAGGTGTTGCCCTTCTTATGTTGCCCTTCTTCTGGAGTAATTCCTTCTAGCTTCTTCGTAGGACATCTGTTCAAAATGTATGTTGCAATCGAAACATGTTCACCCCAAAACACTTTAGGTAAATTCTTGCCTTTCAACATACTTCTCACCATATTCATGATGGTTCAATTCTTCCTTTCTGCAATTCCATTATGTTGTGGAGTATAGAGTGGCACCACCTCATGCATAATCCCTTCCTTTTCACATAATTTTTCGAAGTCTTTCGACACATACTCTCCACCACCATCAGTTCTCAAAACTTTGAGTTTTCGACCACTTTGTCTTTCGTCCATAGACTTAAACTTGACAAATACCTCGATCACTTCACTTTTCTTCTTGATTAGGTAAGTCCACAGCTTTCGACTGAAATCGTCTATGAATGTAACAAAGGATTTGTTACCTCCCATTGAATCCACCTGGATTGATCAATATACATCAGAGTATATGACTTCAAAAATAACCTTCGACCTTCTTCCTGCATCCTTGCTGAAACAATTCTTGTGTTGCTTCTCCTGCACACATTCCTCACTGTTGTACCCCAAAATTTGCCCTCCCATTTCTCATTGATTTCTCATCACAAAGCCCTTGAAGCTCAGGATCCAGTTAGGGTTTCATCTGCTCAAGACCTCTCCTTGCACTGTGGACTCAAAATTAGGGTTTGTGTTTGCACAAAGATATTTTGACCTAGAATGCCTAAGATGACTTTCATGCCTCATATTGGACTCCCAAGTTTACCCATATCAAGTTTCAAGTCCTGATTCCAAGTTTTGCCCAGTCAATTGGACAGTTGACCTAAAAATCAACTGTATTGGGGAAAAAGTCAACTGTGGCCAATTGACAGTCAAACCTCATGAAAATTGACCCACATCAACATATTGGACTCACATGAACCATTTGATCAAGTTTGGATCACAATTCCACAAAAAATTTGATCAGATCACCAAAAGGGCAAAATGGTCATTTTTAGGGTTTTGACTGAACAAAGGCAATTTTTGACTGTTTGACCTAGCCAATGGCAAACCAAGCTCAAACATGGACTCAAGGACCCCATGGAATTATCTTGACATGATCAACAAGCTCAAAAGATCCCAAGTACACAAGATTGACAATTGAATTTCCCAGTCAATTGATCAATTTTGACTGTATACTGAAAAGTCAAACTTTGACTTTTTGGTCAAAATCAAGAGTCAAGATTCATTTTTTCATCAAAACATGCCAAATCATGAAACTTGTTCACCAAGAAATCACAAAATGCAAATTAGGGTTAGAAATGGAATTTTCCATAACTTAGAATTTTTCTAAGTTATGAAAAACCCTAATTTTTTCCCAACTTTGACCCACTTTTTCACCATTATCCATTTGGATTCAAACAAAAGTCCAAACATGAAAGTTGTAGCTTGTTTCATAATCTACAACTTTGATTCACAAAGTTTTCTCATTTGAAGCTTGTATCTCAAGTTACAATTTTTTGAATAAGGGCACTAAACCATTTTTAACTTAGTGAAATTTTAACCTATTTTGACAAGGTTTTCTACCCCACTTCAAGGCCATTTTCCATACACTTCCACTTGGAATTTCAAATTGCATTTCAAAGATGGATTATAGTACACATTCCAAGCTTTCCAAAATGTCCAAGAACTTCTCAAACAACCTCATGGTTAGAGAGAATCGAATTTCACAATATAGCAAAAAACCACTTTGTTCATGACCAAGTTCCATGTCCATAACTTTGCAAATTTGAACTCAGCATGCTTTAGGCTAGATTACAGGTCCTTAAACCAAGTTGCACTCAATAATTTAATGCATATTCATTGTGTTAAGGTGTTGTTCTATGAGTTTGAACATTGTATAAAAGTTTAATCCCAAACTAGATAAAGCAAATTAACCATTTTGGTAAAAGGTAGCTTTATGTCAATTTTGAAATCCAACAAGTACATTGCAAATCTGAATGGCACAAGTTTATGAACATAACACACTGATCAAGGAGGGATTGTGCAACACATTAGGGGCCCTCTACATGCCTAGGATCACAAGTTGCATTTTGTTGCTTAAGTGTGAAGAAAAGTCCCATAACTCATAACAACTCTGATATCAGCATAGAGACACAAGAACAAACTTATCAAACATACTCAGCATATCCGAACCAAGCTAACACACGACCTTGGCACATCTCAAACACCCTCCATCTCAGAAACACCATCAAACTGCTCAAACAGAGCAACCCCTGCAGATTGAGTGCCATCTCTCAATCCCTCCAAGCTTTCTGGCCCAAACTTGTTCCTCTACCTTCCATACAACCTATACAAGCTATCCAGAAGCTAAGGCACGATCTGTAATTGCTCTAACCACTTCCACCATTTTCTCATTTTTGACTTGCAGGTTAAATTCTATAGCTTGATTCAGAAGCTTTCAAGACAAAGTAAGCATTGGAATAGCATCCCTGAACCTCAAGGAAGCTTTTCCAATCACCACCTTGCACTGAAAGTTCCTACATCTCCAGATAGAAGTTCAACTGAATAGGTAAAAGTTTGAATTCGTATCTCTCTTATTATGCATCATTAGTCTTAAGTTTGTGAAGAAATAATGTCATACTCATGCCACTGAACATGTCCATATCTTTACTTTTCATTTCTTTTGCCTGAGTAGAGAGAATTTAGAGTTTGAAAATGACAGAAAACT